GACGAGAATGATGTTGAGTATGCTTCCCTTTACTTCGTCGAAGACTACCCTTCACTGACCCTTTCAAGGCGCCTTCTCTACTGTAAACAGCTGGTAATATTGTTTTTTTCATTTTTTTTTTATCGCTCCCACTTCTCGCCAACTCAACTCCCGCTGTACAGTCACCTTCCACGCATTGGTGCACCACACTGCTGTGCAGCTCGGCTTCAACGCTTTCTTCCTCGTTACAGTTAATTTGCATTCGGGATCATCAGACGGGCAGCGTATGATGTATAGGAAGCGAAGTTTGGTTGTGGAGTATTGTCTGTGAAGTTGGTTACCGTCCGTTTATCAAATTAAAACTTACGAAGAGCACTCGAGCTTCAAAACCATTTTATATCGATTAATGGTAGTTTTTCATGCAACTAGCCAAATGCATTTCTCAATCTTGTGAACTTTTCAATGTTTTCCCCACCAAACTACTATCAAGAAAAAAAAACAAAAGGAACAAAACTAACAAAAAGAAAACAACAACAACAACAATCAGACTCTGACAAAACTCCGAAGAAAAAATAGCACCGGGTTTTTTCGACGAATTAACTACTGTAGGTCATATGCCAGAAATGAGGCCATCTGAGGGAAAAATAAAAATAAAGCATTCAGGTTTTTCTCCTATTTTCCTTCAGATGGCCCTCATTTCTGGCTCATGACCTTAAATCTGGTTAAAAAGAGAGTGCATTTATCATCTATATAAGTAAGAGTTAATAAAGACCTAGATTTTGTCTAGGCTGTCACTTGTCATATAGTGATATTCAAAACGCACTGATTTAATCATCTGTGAGTCAGAGACAGCTGTTTTTGCTGTCGCTAGGTTGAATTTCCAGCCGTTTTGTTGGCCCGCGTTCCTTGCCCCACACCACGGCTGGATCACTGGTCTACCCATTGTATTTTTGGACCAATTACAGTCAAGCCTGCTCGAATCGAGCAAGCTTCCCTGTGATTGATCAATTCTGTCACTCGTCTATCCAACATGGCGGATGTCAGTGCTGAGTTTCTTCTGCCACAAAGTGTGATTTAGAGCGCTTTCACATCTACAAATTTCGGGAAACACAGCAGGATGTCATTTTGAATTTCTCAAAAGGAAAAGACGTTTTAGTTCACAGCCAACGGCTGCAGTC